AGCGTTTTTTGGAAAAGTGTATAGTAACAGGCGTCTTAGATCAATATAGGTGTTCGCACGTGACGTTCATCCGCCATTTTGTTCTTAAATACGGATTTAATGGCCACAGATGAACCCCTGAAATATTTGGAAAATTGGCACGGACCAGACAGCCCATTACAAAATGGTGGAGATATGACGACAGTGAAAACGCCCTATACTCCTAAAAAAATGTCAGATGTTAAATATTTCCTTACATTCTTACTTTTTACAGCGCCCCAAGAGGATTAAATATTGATTCTAAATGTTCATCTTCGATGGCTCTGTTAAACACGATTGCAGCTCCCACGCAGTGGGATTAGTAATGGTCAAAAGGATGTGCAAGTATTTTGATTCAAAGTCTAAACCCGAATTCTTTGCACGAACAATCGTGCAGCTAAAATATTTCTCCCTCATTTATTGCCACCCAATGTCTCTTCATCACTATACGATTGCTAACCGGGGGACCGGAGAATCACGCGTACGCCCGCCGGTGCGAAGTCTGTCTATGGAATCAAACCATTTAGTGAAAGCGCTAGCACCCTCATGACCACGACCGCAGCATCCTCTATGCTGACAAAACCTGGCAGATTGTCACGAAACGCAGTCGCCGAAAGTGAAAACGTGGACCGGCAGACAAGAGTCATTTACAAGAGTCACGTAACGGGCGCCCCGCTGCGGCTAGACGCCGAAACACACTTGTCCCGAGCGATGGAATGTCCGCTCGTGCTCCTCACGTTCCTCGCACTTCCGCTTCTTTTCTCGTCGGGCTTGAACACGGCCGGACTGAAAGCGCGCGCTCTCTTTCTCTCAAGAAGAGGAAGAGTGCGCGCGCGTCCAGTCCGGCCGTGGTTTGAAAACCATGTTTCGGTTCCTTGCCGCTGCAAAAACTGTGCGCTGACTACAGACTCCCCAAGAAATGCTGTGTGCTACCACATCCTCGCGCTCCAAATCTGTGACCGGGTACTCAATGGCTCCGTCGTCGAACTGCCAGGCTTTGTGAGTATAGAGGAGGCTATGCCGCGACCTACTGTAGTCATGACCTGCCCACAAAATGGCTCCCTATGGAATACGTTGTCACCGATGAAGTGTGTTACGTTGCCATTGGTGGCGTTCGGTAAAGGCGTTTCTGCAACCTAACCGCGGTTCACAGCCTTTTTAAATCACCGTCCGCATGGCGCGCGGCTAGTGATATCTGCTTCTCGGGAACACCTATTGTAGCGTGGCGCCAGCAAGGTGCTGTAGCAGTAGCACGCAGCAGGGTAGATCGCTTTCATGTTTGCTTTGATCGAAAGAACGCGTTTCTCAGGCGCGGAAGCGCAAAGGCGTTTTTTAGCCCCGACAGCTCTTCTGCCATCGTCGGAAAAAGGAGCGTTCTCGGACCACCCATACATAATCACTCTAGTGACGAATTCGTCACGCGACCACCGACTGACGAGATCCCACGAGGCCCGGGAGGAGAGCAGGTCAGGGCCAGATAAGGCCGCCGCGCCTTGCGCGCTTTCGATTTATATGCGGATGCCCTAGGATACAAAAAGGCCTCACTGCAGCGCCGCGAAGCCATAGCGTGACGAACGCTGCGGCCGAGGCCATGTACAGCGCTAATCACACTTGTCTATAACGCGCGAGCGTGCGGCTTTCTCCGGGGAGCGCTAGACTGGTGGCATTCGCGGAAACTAAGGTAGTCATTATTAGAATGCAATTAAATGCAAAGGTGCAAGCGAGCTGGACAAGAATGATGAAAGTAATCCCTGGAGAAGGGGAACAAGAGGGACAAAGGACAAACACAAAACTCCAAACACAGCTAGGTGACTGGTGCGCGACCGAAAAAATCCGTAATGGAGAGGTCCCGGGTTCGATACCCGGACCAGGCGGATTTTTTCGGTCGCGCACCAGTCACCTAGCTGTGTTTGGAGTTTTGTGTTTGTCCTTTGTCCCTCTTGTTCCCCTTCTCCAGGGCTTACTTTCATCATAAGGTAGTCACGTGGCGCTACATGGAACGGCCCGCTCGAGGGGTGTCCTGCCCACTCTATCAGCTTGATAAGCGATAAAAGTAAAGTGCTTTATGATATATTTTTGTTTTTTGATGACGACATCGTTGATACGCCTTCATGATTTAGTTTGTTTATTGTTCGAGTAATTGTGTTTGTAAAAAGCGTGGGAGCAGTCTTTCGCGTTCGCCGCTATACTTCGTCTCACCCTACGATGGACTAAAGGCCAAAGCCACGGGTCGCCAGGTCCAATCACGTTAAACGCTAAACTATGACACGCTTAGCGTTGATTAGGTTTGGACGAATACTGCTCCAAATCCAAAAACGCTGCATCATTTTTTATAGCTTCGACGCTGCAAAGAAACAGTACGTCGTGGCTTTCTTTGTAATGTAATATTGTTGAGTCACTCATTGCTCGATCCGAACCACTGTCCGCCCATTCCCATCAGTGATCCGAGACGCGGGCACCAATAAGTGCATCGAAGCAAAATACCACGCAATGACTAAGTGGCTCGTGATTGGATCTGGCGCTTAGTAGCTTGTGCCTTTAGTCCATCGTAGGGTGAGACGAAGTATAGCTGATAGAGTGGGCAGGACACCCCTCGAGCGGGCCGCTCTATGTTGCGCCACGTGACTAGCTTAGTTTTCGCGAATGCCACCAGTCTAGCGCTCCCCGGAGAAAGCCGCACGCTCGCGCGTTATAGACAAGTGTGATTAGCACTGTACTACAAGGTGCGCGCTGGCGCATGCTTCTGGTGGCAGGTCAGAATTACAGTAGGTCGTGCTCCCGAGATCTGAATCTCCGCTCTAGCGTACAGTGAACACAGTATCGTAACGTTAAGGTGGCATGCAGAACCATCGGGTGTTTAGAGCGTACCGGAAAGATCGCCTGAATACTGAAATCGATGGCTTCACTATGCAGCCTTCCAGGTTTAACCTCCCAGGTTAAAAATGTAATCATCTTTACCCTGAGAGGGCATATAGCTGGCAGGCCTAACACTACCTAGAACATTCAAAGCCTGTGAACATCCTCCTCTACCTCCAATAATGTTAGCGTATTCGCATGACACAAACTCATTAATTGGGCTCAAGTCGGATGCCGAGCGTGTTTCGACGTCGACGCGTCGATTGGGTACGAGGCTCAACCGAACGCTGACGAAGCACTGTGATGACGTCAAAATGTTAGCGCACGGACTTTGATTATTCGGCAGTTGGTGAATTCGCTCACTAGCTGTAAACGCTCAATCGCCTGACCTTTTCGGATCAAAAACAAAAATTAACGAACCTATCACTTACCGTTTCATCGTAAATTCGTCAGCTGTTCAGAGCTCGCCCGTACAAGTTTCACCTAACTTCTTCTTTCGCGGCTTCAAGATGGCTGACTTTTGGCAAACAGAAATTTCCATTGACTCCATTTTCTAGTTTAGGTGAGCGCTATGAAACTCGGTGCTCTGTAAACAGTCAGTAGTTCTATTCCGAAAAGCTAGCAGACTAAGCGCCAAACTCATGACTAGAGTATGGCAATCAAAGTTGGTCTTGTCAGACCAGCATCGATCACTGCTGGTATAAGGCTTACTCTGCTTACCCTGTTGGTTGATCGCGCGTAGATCTGGCTCCGCGTTGTTTCTTTTTCCTCGAGGACGAGTCTGTAACTCGGTTGTCTGGCCTCAGATACTCCGTTCCTAATCCACGCCGCAGTTTCGTGTGTCGGTCGCGACGAAGATTGGCTATCGCAGTTCATCAGGAAGACGCTGCGCGGAGGTCACGTCGACGATGATGATGGCGGCATCACTGCAGTTGCACAACTTCGGTGATGATTAATGAGCGCTGAAGTTCTTCACTTTCACTTTCCGAGGAGTTGCTTCTGGGTGGCATGTCGGCGACATTTACAAAGAAACAGGCCCAAAAAGTAGGGCCATTCTTTTACTCACTTTTAGCAGAGAGCGCTACCAGAAAGCATCGCTGCCGACGCCTTTCCCTGACTCGTTAGAACTTTGCTGTGACGTACATCTGACTGTACGAGGAGAGGGGAGTGTTCTAGAAACTGAGGGAGAGAGGAAGACACTAGCGCGCGGGGACGTGAAAACTCCGAGCTCTGGTATAATGATTAGAGGGTAGACCTAATGCCAGCTGCCTTTGTCTCTACTGGGCTCGTCGAACGCGCTCGAATGCGAAAGCCAAACGCCGGACTCCGGCGTTCCGCGTCCGAACGCGTTCGACCAGGCCGCAGCGCTCCTCCAGTGACGTCATATAAGTCGGCTGGCGAGCGCCGCGGAAAAGCTCCGGGCTGAGGGCATCATGCATAGATTTACAGACGTAGTATGGGCATTTTTATTGACACAAGCGTTTGTTATTATGTAAAAGGGGAGTTATAAACACCTATATGACCGATTTGTTGTTTTTTTTGTTTTTTTTTTTGCAGCTTGTTAGGACGAACAATTATTGTGATGATATGCAAATACAAGGTAAACGACGTATCAAGAAAGGTGGGTTTTCGTTTTAGGCAACCAACTTCTGGGCGATTTAATTATCTCTAGAAGTGACGAAGGAAGAATGATTGCCCTGAAACGTTATTGTAAAAAGTGAAAGAACTTGCCAAAATGAATACCCTTACAAACATTTATATCTGGCCAGATTTGAAAATTTCAGATATGGCCATAACAAAAATTGGCCACACATACCCTGATAGCCTGATAGGGTATATCTGTTAGATGTAGCCTCATAGTGCGAGATATAGCCTGATACCCCTGGCTAGGTATGGAGATCCCAGATCCGGCTAAGTAAGGAAATTCCAAATATGGCAAGGCATTTCAGAAGGACACAAGCCTGAAATCACCACTTTATATCTTTTTATTGTGTACAATTCACCCAAGTGCCCCGGCCTGCACTCGAGGAGTTTTGGAAACGGTGGTCCTTCAGCTGTTCAGAAAATTTTATTCCACAAAAATGCACGCTCGCTGCACGCAACAAACATATTCAACGGTCTCGCGGGGGACTGGTCTGTAGTATCAACTAGAGTTTAAGGCACATTAAACAGTAAAAAGTTGATCATGACGCGACCCCTCACCACACAAAGGTAGCGGCACGACCACCGGCGGAGGAACTCTTGTTCGCCAAGGGAGAACCGCTGGTCGTCCAGGTAGGCGGTGAGTTCTTTTCGGATGTCCCACAACAGCGGCCACAACGCGCGGCGTCGTTGTCGCTGGGCCGTCGCGACACAACGGTTTCGCCACAGCACCCACTCACATATTGCCACTAGTAGCAGCGCAAAGGCGCCCCGCGGGCAACGGCCTTGTGTGACGTATACGTCCACCCCGAGACCTCGAAACGAGCGCTGTATTACGCGCCATAGGTCCCTCGCCGGTACACACTTTCTCACGACGTGCGCGTTTGTTTCTATTGCACCACAATTGACGCACTGTGCGTCCCGTACCACTCCCCAGCGGAAAAGCCTGTCTTTTGTTGGGAGGACACCCCAACCCTTTAACCATTCAAAGTCGCGCACGTGGTCCGGCAGCGTGGACGACATCAATGCCAGCCACGGGTACGGCTGCACCGTGCCCGGCGGCGGCGGGGGTTGGTCTGCCACCACTAGGCGTTCAACAAGCCTAGACGCCGGGGCCTCGAGTATCTCTTCTCGTGACACGTGGACGCTGAGCTTGTCGAAGAGATCCGCGGTAGACCTGTAAAATGCAGGGGTCGTCTCCGCTCGGGGCCGAAGAGGGCTCGGAAGAGAGTCTCCCAAAAGACGGTTATTGGCGCCGAGGAAGTAGAGCGTGAGTGGCCGTGCTGGGTTGTCGTGGTCGTCAAGGATTGCCGGGGTTGTCTTCAGGGCCAGTAGGGGCGCTGCCAGCTCGATGCACGGAAAGCTCCACCCTCCTTCACAGCGGGGGAGGCATAAGCGGGAGCGCCTCACGAGTTCTGTGCGGTTGTTCCAGAAGAAGGTAAACAGCGCCGAGCGCACTTGGAGGATGAAGGGGCGCGGCGGGAGGGCTACGCGGGCCACATGCCACAACCTTCCGCAGAAAACCGTCTGAACAAGGTACCGCCGCACAGCCATGGGGAAGTCGTAATGGCCAGCCTCAGCGGCCTTCTCTATGATCTCTTGACGCAGGTTGGACCAGGTCTCCGGAGCCACGCCGGAGGCGTCGTACGAGATTCCAAGAATGGTAACGGACTGGGCTCGCGGCAGAGATGGCGGGCACGTGTGGGGAGCCCCGATACAGAGAGATTTGCTTTTTTCAGGGTTCAACCGTGCGCCGGAGAGGCACGCGTACTCGTCGAAGAGTCGGAGGGCCTTCACCAGGCTGTCTTCGTCGCGCAGGTAGAGGGTCACGTCGTCCGCATACGCCGAGATGCGAAGCTCACCGTACCCAGGTAGAGCAAGTCCGCTTATGCTGGGGTGCCTGTCGACTCCAACCAGGAAGGGCTCTAAGCTGAGGACGAAAAATACCGGGGACAGCGGGCACCCCTGCCGAACTCCTCGCGTTACCGGAAAGCGCGCCACTAAGGAGCCATTCATGAACAAGTCACTCCGCAACCCTTAGCGAAAAGTCGTTCAAAATCAGTACACTCGAAGTGTAATGAAGTATACTAAAAGTATACTTTCAGTGCGGTCTTCGTACTGATTGTATACTTTAAGTGTACTTAAAGTATACTACTAGTAAAAATGGCGGTGGACTGAAAGTACACTTGTCCGTACAAAACTAGTACATGTAGTAGAACCCTTAGCGAAAAGTCGTTCAAAATCAGTACACTCGAAGTGTACTGAAGTATACTAAAAGTATACTTTCAGTGCGGTCTTTGTACTGATTGTATACTTTAAGTGTACTTAAAGTATACTTCCAGTAAAAATGGCGGTGGACTGAAAGTATATTCGTCCGTACAAAACTAGTACATGTAGTAGAATCGTAGTGCCCACGGTAAAAAGTAGTTCAAAATTAGTATTCAAGGAGTGCACTCAAGTGTACTAAAGGCTTACTTTCAGTGCTTGCAGTCGGCGTACTCAAATTATAGTAATGGGTATGTATATAGATATATATATATATATAGTGCGATTGTTAACATCAACACACTAAAAACGCGATAGATAGGCCGATGCCGTTTTCACAAAATATTTGTGGGGCTCGGTCGAAATTATATAAGTAAATAAACGTCACAGTACGTTGTCTAATTAGATTTTTTAATTGACCGTGTAATTGACCATGTTGAATTTTCAATTTTAAAGGGGCTATGAATTAACTCTAGCCCAACTGAAACAATTTGCGAAAAGGTGACGAGTTTCGAGTTATTCATAGCTAAAACTCTGCCTTTCGTCGCCTGGTTAAAAACAACGCATTGGACAGAGCGCAGGATGCTACTCTTACGTATTCCCTTCAGTCGAACCGTTGGAAGTATGATGCTGGAGCATCCACCAAAGACACGCTATCAAAAGAGTGCAACTTCGTTCATTCTGAATGCGACAGCACTTTATGAGGGTTGTAACTTCACTAGAAAATTAAATAATGCATAGAACTCCAGTATGAGTAGTTCTCGCTAACACAAACAAACATGCCATCACCGATATGCCATGTCAAAACCGCTAAGTCACTCTCCACTTTGCCCGCCCCTGCCGCGCGTGGTTCTTGAATCGAGGAAAAAAGTGCGAAATTTGATAAATAAATATCTTAAAGCCCCTTGGCTGTTTCGTGAATAGTTTTGATTGTGCTAGGCTCTAATAACGACTTTTGAAACAGCAATAATAAAAAAAAAGTAAATTTACGGATTTTAACTACTTAAAAAAATGTTGCCACGGTTATTCACCCATGTAATGTCCGCCGAGTCGCACGACACACATGAAGAGTGCATCAACATGACATGAGCCCCCAATTTTCCTGAAACCAGTTGATTAAAAAATATCACCTGGTATAGCTGACATAATGTGACAAAGCGATGCTTCATTTATGTCAGAGCATACTAACGTCGCAAATGCAACATGGACTTACGCCTAAAAAAAGCATAAATAGAAAAATTAGCTACATTGTACACCACGGAAAGTAGCGTTATCTAACTTGTCAATAATTATTTTAGCTAGTCATTTATACCATATTTATCAATTGAACAGTCTACTTTTATTGCAAAGATAGCTTTTATTTTCCCTGAGCTGTATTTGTTACCTTTATAGAAGAATAAAAGTTTACTATAAAAAAGCTGTTAGCACTATTCGGAAGCTGGCGATCGAGGGCAATCGCACCAAGTGTTTAATGCTGCTGATGAAAAAGCATGCACATGACTTTGTTTTCAAAGTGCACCGCCACTTGCGTGCTGCTTCATAGGCTAGTAGACAAATTACCTTTGCAGGATAATCCGGTGTTTTTGTAATGCAGGTCTCAGCGCAACTATACGCAGTTTCAGATATCTGCATCCACAGCAAACAAAAGGACAGGAGGCAAAAGAAACCACGGCTAATAATGGGGACATAAGATGCTCCACCTTGCATGGTCGCATGCAGCGCAAATCAACTTCCGAACCGCGTAAGCGAAGTGGTGTTATGAATGGAAGCTATCTCTGACATTGGCTGGAGAAATCGGCGCCTTTATGTAACAACCTCAAGCTTTCACCGAAAGTGTTTCATGGTGTAGATTTATCTGGCAAAACTCTAAGACATCTCAATTCACGTGAAAAGAGATTGACAATTGCAACAACGAAAAAACACCGTCGATCGAGATTTCCACACTAAAAAATCGACGTAAATTTAACGTGTCTTTCCCTCGTCAAAAAAGACGGGCACGCTCATTGTTTCAAAACGCGAGGTTGCCCTCATTATTTATGTGCCGCCAGAGCCGATCCTTCCAGAAAACCCGAAATCCCAGCGGTGCAAGCATGCGCTGATGAATCAAAATAGCCTTGGCGACAAGGGCGAAATTGCTTGAGGTAGTTTCGGTTTTACACTGAAAAAGAAAACCGAAAGTTTAGAAAAAACCTAAGATAGACTAAACGTTTTGTTAATTTTTTACGAATATAATAAAGTTACATTATTATTATTATTAATATATTGATTTGCTTAGTTTTGTCTTAAAAAAAAAGAACAAAAAAAGAACAAAAAGACAAAAAAAAAACAAAGAACAAAAAGAAGAGACTTTTGAAAACTACGCGAGACCATCGCTATTGCAATCAGCTTCCGTTCGTCCGCCGTTGGAGTTCCGGATAGTTCGGGCATCGCTTCCGTTTTACGTTTTAGCCGTTTAAGCGGATATTTTAGATAGCTTACTTACGAATACTGTGTTTAATAATAGCAGGCGATTACTGAGAGCTGTGAGACACAGCGTCGCAAGTGGCGGACAGTCATGGCCGACTGGTGCAAGCGAAGGTGAGGAAGTTCTTTTGTTTCTGCGAAGTACGCCGCTGTTTCAAACTTTGTCTTGTACCGTGTGCTTGCTAAGCTATGCTTGACTCTCACTATGCTCTACCCGGTTTTATTTCGTTATTCGAAAAGAGCGTATCTTCAAATTTTATGGCTCTCTCCGCAGAGTGAGAAAGATTCGCGTGCGGCGGAACCGAGGGTCAGCCGAGGGCCTGTCCTGCGCGCCGTCCCTACGACGGTCGCCCGACGACGCTTTTGCGGAGCGTTCAAGTACAGTTTGACGGCAGTTCAAGCAATCACAGGTCATACTAGTTCTGACGTGTAATTCCAACAGTCTCTCGCCAACGATTTGTTTCATAAAGCGGGAGCGAGAAAAACGTTACAAGAGCGAGCAGCATGATTTCTTGCCCGTGCTGATGCCTGTGCCGTAGAGACGGGCGATCTCTTTGCGTATGCCGAAGCGGCACGCTTTCCAAGTTTGCGATTGTGTGTTGTGAATAAAGCGAGTTTGGATGTCACGTTTTTTAGTGGCGGCGAAAGCCGCTACAAAAGGCAGAGCAGTTAGAAAAAGCAAGAGCATGAAAAAATGTTAAAAGGACCTGAATATTCGATGGAGTTGAAAGACTACCAACGTACCAACTCGCCCAGTTATTCTTTGTCAAAGAATAATAGCCAATACTAATAAATTAAATAAATGCCAACTTTTAATTGGTTAGAAATTTATAATTGATGCAGTACAGCCCTACCCTGCTCTAGTGCGTTTATGATATCAGATAATGTGTAAATATATAGGATAGTTCATAGCAACCATTTATGTCCGACCCATTATATTCAATCTTTTTCTCTAAAAGCTTGAAGTTATATAAAAAAAGTACTTATCATAAATTAAGCCGCACCACTGAATGTGTAATAGCGTATGACCTGGTATGTGTGTTCACAGCAAAAGAAAAGGAGGCATTAAGAAAATGCCAATCGTTTTGTTTGCTCTGTGTTAGAGCTTCTTTCAGGTATCAGGCTTTGCAACGATATTGTCCGATTTTCCTCGCCCTTTTGTCAGGATGAAGTTGTTACTGTCTTGCCTTCCTCACAAAGTGGTCCTTTGAGCGAATTATGTGATGTTATATCATAGAGTGGCATAGGGTAATTTTCTCTTATCTTTTTACGCAGGATGTAATGGCATACCATCATCACAAAGGAGAGTGTACAGTGAGGCAGGCTCGGAAACTTGAATAAAGTGATAAGTAAGATTTCAATTTCTGTATTATCAATTACGCGAACTCTGATCATAATGTTTGTATGCTACACATACATACTTTCAGTTCAAAAATGCAATGCACCTCTTCTTTATGGCTTTTCTCACACAGTTTCAGAAGACGCCGGTACGTCATTCTCACGAAGAATAGAGCTGCCAAAGATTTCCTCGTTAATTTCCTGACTCATTTTTAAGAGTGCACCTCCCGATGGTGGCGCCTCTGCATTATCATCATCAGTTGAGTTGTCAACGACGTTTCTTAACATTTCACGAGAATGGAGCTATATGACATGAAATTTCACAGGTTGGAATACAGCCGTTCAAAGAAACACATTTGAAAAGTCGGCTTTTTAAAAACAGGCGCCGATTTTTCTGGTCAATTTGAGACCGTTCTTTCCATTCAGAACGCGCGACATACACGGCGTCCCAGATTAACTTGCACCATACTTAAAAAAACACCGGAGGGCTCTGCAGGAGTGAAATCAACTGTCGTTAGCAAGTGTCTTGAGAAAGTGCACAGATTTTTGTTTTTATAGACGCTTTGCAGCAGCTGTGCATGGACGCCGCCATAACTGACCTTCAGTTTTTGTTTCCTTTTATTTCGTTTATTTCACTTCATCATTACCATAGCAGGCCAGGTTATTGCCATATTAGATTCAACTGTGTCCTTTTCTAAAGCATCGGCCTTTGTAGAGGATCGTCAACTACCGTTT